GAAATAAATTGAGATCTGGTGAATGAAATGAATGTGGTAGTAGCTTTTCTTAAAAAGAAAGAAAAATAATAAAGTTTTATTTTACACCACGAGATAAATCTAGATTAGTCCAGATAATAGAATTTAATTAAAATGTGGTGAATAAAGTGGATGTGGTAGCAGACACGTCTCCCCAAAATCTCCAAACTAATTTTTTATCTCTAAAAAAATAAAAGAACATTATTTTACAAGCATTAGTTCTTATTAGTTTAGATGAGTAGGTTCTTCATGCTCGTAGTAAATTAAATAAAATTTAATTATTTCTTAGAGAAACTGGTACCATATTCATCTTATCCATCAGATTTCAAATTATTTCTATTAGACTATTCTATATACCAATGATTAAATAGAATATCATTATAGTAATCGTAAAATAAAGCCATGGTTTCTTCATTTATAATTTAAGCAATCTCAAATCGTCACATAATATCGTCCTGACATTGCTTCGGCCACTTTATATAGATTTCAATCATAGTAACATCATATATATCACACATAACAGAAGCCACAACCTTTTCCGCTAATTGAACTATCGTCAGCTTTTTTGATATAAGTTCATCTGGCGAAGATCATAGTAAAATAGTTACACCCCATGTCTCATTTACAGTTATAAGTGATTACACAGGCACACTGCAAAGCTAACATTATACTGTGTAATTGTCACTGACAGTTTGTGTCAGTACACAAATAAATCTCTCTGACATGTTACAGTTTTATTTTGTAGTAAATTATCAGTCAGCTCACCTAAACTGCACCAACTGCACATATTAAAACTAATACAAAAAATTTTAGTTTCTAGTTTGAATAAAATCAATTTTAAGGATTGAGGAGTAATTTTGCTATATATTAACTATTTCCTGTCTTACCACTTTTCTATTCTCGATCAATTCACGTAATAATAAAACGGCCGTTCGACTTCCGGCTAACAAATTCCATCTGGACCAACTGAAATTATGCGATAATGCCAATGTGGACATGCAGACATATAAATGCATTTCCATGACGTAGTTTTTTTCGCACGAACCTTCTGTATAACAGAATGCATCCTCATCTGGAAATATGTCCACAGCTGATGAGATTAGTGTGGCTTTTAAATCGGCTAACGAAAGTGTCTTGCCAATCATATCATTTATAGCGTCAGTTGTGCCACCCTGAAAATTGTTCATGCAATATCCTGCGGATGTAATGGACATATCAAGGCTAACAATTGATGCGGTAAAGCTGAAGAGCACCGAACCGGGGCTGCGAGGTAACAAAAGCGTTGAATTTATAATATGAGATTATGGTTTATGCAATGTGGGTTTTTAACTGCAAATATATAAATGTGTAAATATGTGCAAATATGTGCAAATATGTACAAATATGTGTAAATATGTGCAAATATGTACAAATATGTGTAAATATGTGCAAATATGTACCAATTGTCATATGCATATATGTGTGAATTTGTGTTATGATTGCTTGTATATATAACAATTGTGTATGTATATACGTATGTATGTGTGTATGTGTGTGTTAATTTTATGGCGGCTGTAAAAATATGCGCCATTTTATTGCGGAATTGTATTGTTTAATTGAAATGCCAGCACTGAAAGTTGGGAATTATTTTGCGGTAACCAATTTCCACATTATGCTCGGCATAATAAAAAGGTGTAAATTTTAAAAAAATTATTGTACTTTTATTTGTTCATTTTATGAACCTCGATGATATGGAATTCAATTTTATTTAAATAAAAAAATAAACATAATTTATGCAGTATATTTCATGGTACATAAATAATTATATTTACTGCTTAATGTTGCGAATTGATTTTAATTTTATTTAAACCTATTTTATATATTTAACTAATGTTTTTTTAATTGGCATATATGAATAATAGATTTTCTAAATTTTATTAAATTAACTTTAATTTGTTTATTATATGTGGCAAAGATCAACATATATTTAATTAAAAATTCATTATAATTGATATATTTTATTTACTAATCGAATAAATATTTTTTGTTATTTTAATTTAATTTATATTTTCATTTAAATAACTTACTTTTTAAAATCTGGTTTGATTTCCCATGCCTGGTATGGCATGTTGCTGTATCGATTCAATGCAAAACCGAAAATGCCTTGCATTTTGCATTTTGCAATTCCATTCGATTCAATTTAATATTGAAATCAATACCGTTGAGGACAGCAGTTGCGGATATCATGACGTCGTCCAAATTCACAAGTTGTGACAGCAAATAAACAATTAAGTAAGTATAGATTGACAAATGCTGTAACTCAAGTTGACAATTATTCGCAACGAATAAATAAATAAAATTGCAAACAAAATCAACAAACAATATCAACAACAACACTACGTATGGTACAAATGAAAAGCAATTCTGTTGAAAATTGATAGAGATGCGATGGCAAAGAGATTCCTTTAACAGGCATGTCAAACCTAAAGCTACGTGTTCCAATCAGATTTTGTCATAAAGTCAAAAGGGCATTTGGAAAATGCAGAGATAGCAGTTGTATTTCATAAAGTTACATAGAGCAGACTATTGTCGACAATAAGTTAATTAATCGAGAAAAAATATTAATTCTAAAATGATTTATTGATCATAAATTGGAACATAAATTTTAATGCTAAAACTGAACTGATGTAACATATTTAAATAACTAAATTTATATGGTATCTGTTATCATGTCTAGTTGTTGGACAGATATATAGTAAATAAAAGATTTGTGTCTGGTTTTAAGAGCTAAGTTATAAAGTAGAAAATATATTATTATATTTGAAAATATTTTATCTGTATTTATCTGTATTATTTTATCTGTATTTTTATATTATCTCAAAATATAGGCTATATAAGCCTTAATTTTTAATTGTTACAGAACAATTTTAATAGTATTTTTGCTAAAAGAATCAAATACACTTATGTGTATATAAATACACTTATGTATCGATTCATATTAATAGTTTATAATTATTGAAAAATGATTCAGTATAGTAAATGTATCGAATCACATCTAGTCAGTTAGGTGGGTTAGGCTAATAATATGAGTATGTTATATAGCTTAGGCTACGCAACTTTTGCAAATATTGTGGATGTAAAGTATCTAGCAGAAACGTTTACTCCAGAAACAATAATATATCGACTTCGCTCGGAAGTAGCTGAATAAATTTTACAATACACTAACATAGAAATCTTATTTGGATATGCCATCAAAATTTAGACCAAATCGTTTTAAACGAAACTATGTCAAACGTTAAGACGAAAAAATTTAACACAGCTATTGAAGTTCTTCTTATAAGTTCAAAAAGCCTTAAAAGTTTTTACTATATGGTTTAAAGGTTTTTCTTTTCGATTTTGGTTGCTTAGGATCTTATGTGTTGCTGCCATATAAGCATAGAACGAAGACTATATCGATGAACGCTATACCGGAAACACAGTCCACCTTGAAAATTGATAAAAAGTTAAAAGATCTACAAGATATTGCATAGATAAATTAATATTTTATGATTTTATCTATAAAACCCATAATCCATGATATATGATGAATATTTTTTGGTGTTTTACTATGTCTATTAAAAGTATTTTTGTAAAAATTTTGGTTTTTTCTAAATTTTAAATTGGTTCTTATTTATATTATTAACATTCTCATTAACAAATCCATTTTTTTTATTTTTCCTTATTAAATACTTAATTAAATTTTAATTAAGTATTTAATTTATTATAATTTACTAACGCCTAAGTCATTTCGAAGAGATGCCCATGCCCTATTAGTTTGCCATGCCTGTGAAAAAGTATATATAGTACTTTACACTGAAATGACCTACCTAAACGTCCAGTACGAAACTGTATCGAGAGCTTATCTTCATTGAATTTGGTATCATGTACGTCACGCGTACTCCATTTGCCTTTTGTCAATGCGATGATATTTGATATTTTCGATTTTTTGCTGTAAGTGGAACCAGTAAAAGCAAACCAATGTTAAACAGAAGCAATAAATAAAAGCCATATATACATATATGGTATAATATAACAATATATTGATAAATATAAATTATTTGTAAATATGATGCATGCAAACTACACTGGCAAGAGCAATCGCATATGAAGACTCAATAAAATGCGTTATTTATATGAAATGCTATCAACGAGGATAGAGCATAAAATATTGCAGATATTTTCTATTTAAAATAACTGTGATATATAATTCAATTATATATATGCACTTATTTTCTTCAAAAAAAAAAAAATAAATAAATAAAAATGAAAATACATCAAAAAAGGATGTTAGAGAAATTCAATAAAATGAAATGAAATTTGTTCGTTCTCCTTCCATTGACATAAAATCACGAAAAAATCAAAATCAAATCAAATGCACTAATAATAGAAATAAAAATATTATAAGAAATAAAAGAAAGAAAGTAATAAAACGAAAAATAATATATAAAAGGAAAAGTGGAAAGAAAAAATTCAATTGTTGGCAATTGAAAACAGTTTGCAAGTCGTAAATTACAAAGCAACTCACAATTACTTTCTATTTTTATATTGCTTTGCTCCTCTCCAATTGCCACAAGTGTTGGTATTTTCTTTGCACAATTGCACTTATATATCCACACATTTTCACACACAGTTCCAGTGTTGGGTAACCCCACTATCGTTAAATAAAACTAACATTTGAATACATTTACATATATGCTATGCTCCGCAAGTTTTTTGTATTTATGTATCTATACATTTCACTGACAATTGTCACTTACCCATCATTGTTGTCACTTTCACTTTGACTATGGTGACTGAATAGACCGTGTACATCACCCGCAGACCCACTATTTTCAGCAACACCGCCACCGCCACCACTACCACTACCATCACCGAGCGTATTCAAATTGTCGACAATTTTACCATTTTCATTCGGATTCTCTACATATTCATCATAATCATCTTCATCATCGTATTCTGAACTTTCATCATCCTCTGCTTCCTTTGTGGTCTCTTTACTTTCATTGCCATTCTTTGCAAACATATCGCGTATAAAAGAGATGCCGGTGAAATAGGAGAATGCGGGTTGCATTAGATTTGCTTCGAACGATTTTGCAAGCTCTTCTTCCTCTGTAGCCGCTGCTGCCACCGCTGTAGCGCCTTCCTTCTGTGAACCTTCCGTTGATGTTGTTGGTGTTAACTTTTCTGAAATTTGATTAAGTACCTCCTCCTGTTTCGGTTTTTGCAACTCACACAAGCGTTCTAGGTCCTTTTGATTAGAGATGACAGTGTTCAATTGTGTTTGAAAATATGATAATTTTAATGCGATTTTTTGTAAAATTTTTTACGATAAGAATGTCATTAATTTTTATATTGCAAAAGTAATTTTCACAGTTCAAAGCATTGCGCAATGTTCAGAATTTTTAGCTACAAGTGAGGGCGTTCGGTAAAGATTTTTTAACTTTGATATGGTAATTTAAAATGTCTTTCACTTAAGTTAGAATGTGGGATATATTTTTGAAATATAATTTATTTTACTTAAAATAGCATATAATTTAAAATTTGTAGCATGATAAGTACTATAAAGAAATAAAATTATTACCAGCACTTATTCTAAATTAATTACGGATAGATATAAATAATATTTTCACAGATTTCGGACCGCAATTTATATATAGTTATTTTGTATTGTAACTAATAGCAATTGCTATCTATTATATATGTGAAAGCAGCTTATATTATTCATTACATATTGTAAATAAATAGCAAAATATACCACAAAAGCAATCTTTATGGCATATGTGGGGGCATGAAAATAAACATCCGAAAATATTATGAGTTAAGTTACCGCAATCCATTCGGTGAAGGATGTGTCGTATACATATACTCTTAATAAGATGAAACGATTTTGTAGTACGATTTTGGGGGCCTAGCCTTCTCATTACCCATTAATATGCATTATAGTCTCTCAGTTTTATAGCTAATTTGTACATATTTCTGATAAGATATTTTTGTGAATCCAGTCAAATTGTTTAAATCGGAATTGTTCATTATCGGAAGAATTCACATATATTAAAACCCCTAATTAGGTTTCACTTATTAATATGGAGGTACAATATGAAACATACTATTGCCATTGCAATTGCTATCGCTTATGCTTTTTTTTCTCTCTCTCTCTCTCTTTCTTCTCTCTCTCTCTTTCTTCTCTCTCTCTCTTTCTTCTCTCTCTCTCTTTCTTCTCTCTCTTTCTTCTCTCTCTTTCTTCTCTCTCTTTCTTCTCTCTCTCCTCTGTCTCTCTTTCTTTCTCTCTCCCTTTCCCTCTCCCTTTCTTTATCTGTCTTCACTTCTCTTTATCTTTTTCTTTCTCTAGTTATTGCTATTGTTGTTGCTAATACTATTCCACTATTGCAATGACAATGATACCGATATCAGAAAACTGACATACTCTTATGGCAGTGTGATGTTACTTTTGGTATTCGTGCATTGCATAACTTACCTCAATTAACTCTGAAAACATGTAAGTTTTCTTAACTTCCTTTGGATTGTCTTTCTTTTCACTATCACTTCCTTTCGATGATCTTCTATATTCAGATTCACTACTAGCCTTACTGATACTCTTACTATAGCTGCTTGCCACACTTTCAGTCTGTTTTTCATTTTCCACACACCTACCATTGCCATTACCATTCTTCTGATCATTGCCATTGCCATTAACTTTGCCATTTTGATGGCCATTAGTTTTATTGACTTTAATATGACCATTTCCATTCCCAGCAACTACTGTTTCCTGTATTTTCTGTTCTTCACTCATTTGTCTTTCTAAGCTTAAAATATCTTTTTGATTTATTGGTAAATCCTTAAACTTCAACATTTTATCAAATTGGAAACGCGGAAACAATTCCCTCGGCTCATTCAAATCCAAAAACTCTTCATTAATGCGTATGCCATGTATGCTGTCATATGCCGACTTGTGTTCGGCGGATTTTATTATGTCCTTACCACAAGAAGCAACAGAATGATGACGAGCAAAAAACAAAACTTTGGGTTGTCTGCTATTATCCTTTTTAAGCGTAACACAATCGATGCCTGTATTTAAGTGTACATTGAAACCGTATGGCAAGCGTGGCACTACGAAATCCTTGAAAAGGCTATGAATATCGATGTCACTTGGTATATTCAACATATCAAAATCAGTCACTTCATGCACCGTTGCTCTTGTGGGCGATTTTTGTGTGCTACGTTTACGTTGCTTTGATGGAAAGCGAGGTGAGCATTTAATGGGACTAGGATTGGTAAATGTTGACATTGGTGTTGCATGGTCTGTTGGAGTTGCGGTTGTGGGTGGCTTTATGCCTTCGGTAAGATCTGATTCGAGCGTATCAATATAAGTTTCCCAACGGCATGCAATGGGTGGTTCAAACCAGATGACAGAATCGGGTAATCTGTTAAGTCAAAGTGTTAAATGTATGGTATCATTTGGGAAAATGACTTACTGTAATGTGACCAATGCCAGTTTATCCAAAGCAGCTTCAATCATGCGCATCTCTGCTTCAATTTCTTCCGGTAAGCGACGTACACCAGGTTGCACTGGTGGTGGTGGCTTATACGTTTGAAAAAAGTCTTTATGAGTTAAAGTATCAGGTGAAATAACTAAAATGAGAAGGATTTAGAAACAATTTAGTATATAAGACTTAATGAATTACTTGTACGAATAAAGGAGCGTGCGTTTAGTCTTTTATCTTGCCCGGGTATATCTAAGTAATCAATGCAGTAAACGCCACCAATTATACGATATTTTCTTAAATTGACATCAGTTTCTAATAAATTGTATGCGGCAGGTCCAATACTTTGCTTTCTGCATTTATTTAGGTTATCTTCATATTCAGCATAAACTTTGTCAATATCAAAGCTGCGTTGTTTGCGTGGTGAAGATTTCGAATCTATGCCTTCCATAGCGTCTAGAGTGAGTGTGGTTTCCTTTGTACATTCGTCTAACATATCCTGTAGTATTTCCTTGCGCTTATGCCATTCACGTTTCGTTTGTAAGAGTATATCTATATTGAATAAATTTGTTATATTTATTTGGATTATGATGAAGCAAATAGATTTTACTAAAAGTTGCTGGTCTGCGTTTTTTTAAATTAAAACTTGTGCAGTAATCACTCAAATGATCAAAATTTAACCAAATTCCACGAAGTGCTGACAACTGTAATTGTACCACAGGCGGTAGAGTTATCTCCATTTCGATCATCGGAAAATTGATTTCAATATGTTGAGGTTGTTCACCAACTCGTGGTTTAGGGTTAAGAGAACTGCAAGAAAAAATGCTTAGATGAAATCATTTTATGCATTTTTTGAATTCTAACAAACATTTGTGCATCCTTCGAGAAAGTCCAAAAGAAGCATTTGAATACATCAGAGGAGTAATCATGTTTT